TCAAAGAGGGTGGTGCGGAAACCCCAACGACGATAAGTGGCTTTTGTCTTCATCTCGCACAATGTATAGGTGTATATATATACCCACTCGCAGTATTGTACTTATACTCTCGGGAGTAATATGATGATTCTCTCACTTGCTCAGAAATCGATACGTTTGGTTTCAAGTGTCGAATAACCAACCAACCAACCATATATATATATATATATATATATATATATATACCTTTGGTGCTTGCGACTGACCAGGAGAACTTTGACGGCGATTCGAGACTCGTAAGGTTTATTAGCTGAAACGCCCCGAAAATTTCTTCGCATCAGACTGCAAATGAAAACTTATTTTTTTCTCTGTATATATTCTGAAAATGACCTGTTTGCACAAATGGTTGCTTCAATCTTCCCCTACATACACATAATATGTATAATTGTAGTTTGAGCAATACGTATAGGTGAGTACCATTACCATCGTGGTATGTAATAAGTATAGGTAATATAGCGCGTGAGTATATACCCTATATGAACTACTTCTGTAAAAACGAAGCAATCAAAAAGTCAGTCCCGGTGTACACCGCGAGAGATCGCGTACACATGCACATGTGGGTATATATATACTTACAGCACATGAGATCCCAAAGCCAACTAGCGTGAAAAAACACAACAGTGCTTTCAAGTGCAGCTTGCGAGTGCAGTAACCCCGTCAATAAATTAAATAAAGAACGCGCGCTGCACAGAAACACCGAGACGAGAGAGAGAGAGAGGGAGTTTAAAAATAGTCGTGCACAATCATCATCATCACCCATTCGATAATCCGATCAGGCGCCCGTGTATGTATATGTTTGGCGATCTCATTGACTGTAACGCGCGTAGTCGCCATTTGTAGCAACGGATTGGAGGAGAAAAAAAAAATTAAAACAATACATATTATGACAGGCGGATTAAAAAAAATAATGTGGACGCGCGCGCGTTTCGTGGACCTGGATGGTGCTGGGTTGCCGCTGATGCTCGTTAGCAGCGTCGCGCCAGAGGCCGCCCGCTAAATGGAGAGAATAATATATTATATAGTGGTCATGGTATACTAAAAGAGACGCACGTACGGGGACACTCGCGAAACAAAAGGGGAAGAGGAGGAGCGCGGATATTATAAGAATGCCTGCACAGCAAAGAGCCTTGGGAATGTTCTTGCGCTAGTGTGGCCGAGTGTGGCCCCACCTCGACACAACTCCCAAATATTCTAAAGCGACAGAGGGTTCATCGATTTCGGTCTAAATGGCCCCACGTGTCATAAAGAGACCGAGAGCTATAAAGTAAAAGGATTTGCGAAAAGCATTATACTATACCTGTGTACTCCTGCCCGGTGCAGGTGCAGGTGGATTTTCGAAAATATTGCAGGACTGCTGTATACTTTTTTCTTTCCTTTTTTTTTTTTTTTTTTTTGTTTTCGCACGAACGGTGAAAATAAAATTGCAAATGAGGTGAATGCGGCGCTCTGAATTTGGCTGTAAATTTCGATCGCAGGACATATTGTGGACAAAGAAAAAAAAATGGACAACAGGGCAGCTCAAAAGTGAGAACGTTACAACCATCTAAAATTTAAGTTATATTTTTAAATGTGTGTTGTACTCTTATACACGTAGGAAATTACAACAATGAGCCAATTATACGAATATATTACTATGCAATAATGTTGTGTGTTTAATTCTTATACAATACGATATCATGTTGTCGTGAATCACCTGCACGTGACTCACCGTCGTGCGATTAATAACCTGAGGAATATAATATTTTGTAACGCAGCGACACTATAATTACGTGTCCCGAATCGACAAAACATCCACCAACCCTCTTAAAAAAAAAAAATAAAATAAAAAGTACGACGTCGTATGTCTTTTATATTGCACAGCTCTTGGGAAACAATTATTCTCAATATTTGGCTCTCAAAAGGGAAGATAAATTCATTGGAGGCGCAAAAAAAAAAAATAAAATAAAAAAATAAAAATACATAGCCAAGGCTATACGGTTCATCACCGTAAAGCTATAGTTTATTGTACACGGAAACCCTACACGCGTCTCAAATATAATATGTGAGTGTACCTTATCCCTTCTGGCTGCTGCGCTCTGTGATTTTCTATTCTGTTATCAAAGTAACGGGAAACTCTTTCCCCCGTGCAAGAGGACGAAAAAAAAAAAAAAAAAAAAACCAGTACATGCATATACCATATCATACAACTACAGCATTATCTCAAAGTGTATCGTTGAGAAGAAGAAAAAGAAAAAAAACTCGTAAAAATGTAGTCATCGTGTGCAGGCTTGAGTTTATAGATAAAACACACGCGAGAGGGGGGGGGGTAACCCATCACCTATTAGCGTATACGTAAGAAGGGAGCCACGTGGTAAATGTATATATATTAAAATATCCTCGTAGAAGTTACATGTGACACGGGAGGAGAAAGAGCTGCCCTATTAAGTGCGCGCACGTCAGATAGCTACTTATAAGCGCTTTACATTAAATATCATGTATATAATAATATACTTGCGTCGTGCGCTCTTTAAGAAGTTGGGTGCGTGTGCACATATAAAAAAACACAGAGGAAAATGATTAAGGGGTTGTGGAGAAAGAAAAGAGTAGCGAGTGAGTATATAGGTATACTTGGTATACACTTGAAAGGAAGATGAGGCAGATGGAAGAAATAGCCGATGCGTGTAAGTGACGCAGTACGATAATGATAACGCCGCTGTTTGATAGAGTATGCTTTCTTTTTTTTCCCTCCCATTCATCTACAAAAAAAAAGAAAAAAAAAAAAAAAAAAAAAAAAAAAAAAAAAAAAAAAAAAAAAAAGTATAGGTACACTCGAGAGCATCGCGCGTGCGATATTGATCCTCCGAGCGAGTCCACGCGTAAGGGTAGATCCACATCGTTCCTGATTTAGATGTGCAATTCGTCAGCAGCTAGTCAGCACGCCTGTGTAAAAGAATAAGAAACAAAAAGACCGACGAATAAAAAAAAACAAAAAAACTCAACCGGGGAGTATTTATGTGTAGCGCGTACGAAAAACATATACCTACCCTGGATGTCAACGACCACACCACTTTACGTATAGGCAAGGTATATTATAGGTACGAAGAAGAAGAAGAAGCGAGCCTATAGGAGGTCTTTGGTATACGTATGGGAATTCGGGGGGACGCATACCACCGAGGCCGTTTACCGAGGGGCTCAGCCGCGGCTCGTGCGAGACGCAACGACCTATATACGCTCATTTCGCGCGGAAAATCCTCACGTGGGCCGTGGCATGAAAAAAAAAAAAAAAAGAAATTTTTCATTTCCCGCGCACATATTACAAGTATATACATCTCTGTATGTATACCAAAGACGACGGCGGAGCTTCTTCCGAAAGTCTTCTCCTGCCAAGAGGAGGGGACGGGGTGTCACGCAGCCCTTCGACGTATATGTATATTTGACTTTCACGAGGGGGAAGATTTGCGGGGAGGCTATACATGGAATTTATCGTGTCGTAAGTACTTGTGTAAAGGGGTGTAGGGTGGCTCGAGCTGATGACTATATACCCCATGTACGGGTGCATTGAAAACTCTCGGGGAGCTATATAAGCGTTGGATAAACGTAGGATCCGTCAGGGTCGCCGCGTGGTTTTATTGGTACGGATGATCGAGGGGGTGGTGGTTTATATATATATACGTATTACACGGATGCGGGTGGATTACGCGACGCTTGATGGCCCAATCGCGGGTCAACACACACACACACACACACACACACACACACACAGTTGAGTCGTGCGCGATACATTCCTTAATTGATTTATAATATAATATAGGCTCGTGCTGGTATAGAGGGAGATTCGGCATTAACACGTTTACACAATTTAATCCGATGAGTCTTGATTTCTTGCATGGGTTTAAATAAAGTATAATTTCGAACTGAATACGCACGGTAAATCGGCTGTTTCGGAAGATGTATCATTGATTTTATGTATACCGATAGTAGTATATTAATGGTATTACCTGTGTATATCAGTATAAATTGTAAAATACAATTAAATGTTATACGAGACTTGTGTCGTCTTCGTATACACTTTTGCTTGATGCACAAGCTTTTCATTTAACATGTGTAGGTATCACATAGGCACCCATATATTTATAGGTATTCCGTAGCGCGTACATGCATATATAAAAGGTACTACGCAGACAATGCTAACAAGATGTAATATTCTTGTCCTTCCGAGCGCCATATATATATATAGCTGCTTGACAAATTGTCGCTACCTCGCGACGGCCACTTGTATACATATATACATACTATATATATTATCTTTTTACCTCTTTGTCATTGTAATTTTTGTCATATAAAGTCCATCAGGTTGTCTAATATATATAGCCAGATACAACGTCAAAATGTAAGTACTTTTTTTTTTTTTTTTTTTCAAACTATTTAATTGATGGTTATAGAATGATTTATTTCATTCCATGTGACTTGGAATTATTTCACAAAAAAGCGCAACTTGTGTACTTATCCGGTACAACGAGACGCGAAAATTCGTGCAAGGCTATGTATATAGATGCGTATAAACAAAACTGCGTTACACCGTATGCATAATATATACAAGTATAATCATTGATGATTATTATTTTTTATTTATTATTATTTTCAATGGCCGCTACAGTACATCGTATGACTTGTGCAAACGATCAAGAACCCCACCTATATACCCGTTTGACGATGAAAAGGAAAAAAAAAAAAAAAAAAAAAAAACCCAGCCGAGCGGTAATCCTCTTTCTGCAAACTCGCTCTACCCTACTTACATCCGATAATCTATCGATAAACGGTGCTCGTACCAGTATAAGTACAGCCGGGCTAATAACTCCTGTAGCTCGACGGTGACGACCGCAGAGCTATAATATAATAGGTATACACTCAGTACTCTACCAGCATTGCTCGAGAAGAAGCGCACGCAGCTGCGGGAATAATCAACGCTCGGGCTTCTGTCTTGTATATTACTTCTTCCGACGTAAGTAACGCTCTATTAAAAGTAAAAGAAAAAAAAAACAGTACAAGGGTGCGATTATCGGAGTCTCTCTCTCTCTCTATCAATATACATACGAGGCACACAATATAAATATTATACCTAAGTATTCGGAGACGGTAAAGGAAAAGGAAGTATATATATATAGATACGAGGTACAGCAGTGCGCACGTCACGTATATTATATCTTTCGACGATATGATACATGTGTTGCCTACGCAAGGTGAGTGGGTGGGTATATTATATACACGGGTTTCATTGATAATCGCAACGCGCCACCTGATACGTATACATATATCATATACATATATATTGTATACCTTTACTCTCTCCCTCGTAGCAAAATGAAATTCATCCACACGGCAGGGAGAAAGAGCCTGTTGACATTCGATGCGCTCACCGGGTAAATGATCCTTTTTTTTCCTTTGAAAGGCTTGATGTCGATGATCCTTTTTTTTTTTTTTTTTTTTTCGCAAAAGATACACACACGGTGTGGTACATGCCAACGGTGCAGTGGGGGGGCATGTACATAGGTGTTTTCAGTTAGTTGAGTTAAGAAACTAGCATATTTTGTATAAATACATATACCTATAAGTAGCGCGAATCGAGGATTACGTATATGTACAAGTTTTTTTTTACTTTTTTACGGGAATAAGTATACTTGCCTAAGTACTGATTTGTTCGGTGAGCTGTTACAGTTGTCGTTTGCACATAATATACAGTTGAATCGTTGCAAGGACACGCAACAATACACCGACATCATATTGTAGCCCATTTTATTGTTATGCGTATTTGGACTCCATTATTTGTATAGAACTATAATTTTCCCCGTCTCATTAAAATCCAAATTGACATGTGTACGCGTACACTTTTGTATAGATATTATTGCAAAAAACCTCCCCTCCTTTACGTAATACGTAGGTATATGTATAACAATACCAAATCCGTCCATCACGAGTAAGGCAATTTACACCGGCGATGATATGAAGCGTTCGAGTGTAATTTTGAGTTTTCACCGTGAACATGGTTAACTATACACGTGCAGGTACTTACGTGTTGGAAGATGAAAAGAAAACACGGATTTTTTTAGCAATTAGTTCGAGTGTGAATCGGAATCCGATCGCCTTTCGCAACGTATACATATCAGTGCATTGTGTTATAGGGTATGGAAATTCGAGATTTGTGTATATCAGCTGATGATATGTATGTTTCGACACGTGCGTGTGCGAAATCCAATACAGAAGCCGTAATTTTGAGTGATACTTAATTGCCAACGCAACTTTTTATATTGCTCGGATCACTTTTTTTTTTTTTTTCTCGCAAGCAGATACACACATCGATACCTACATAATGCCTGTGTGCGATTTGTTTATGGCAATATTGGACGAAGGAGCAGAATTACACCTTATCGCATCGCCCTTAATTGGCTGTCGGTGTCCAGGCGACGTGATTACTTCTTGGGAACACTCTCGTTTTCGATACTCTCACATAATTATCCTACTTATTTGGCATCTAATTATATTCTTGCTGCATCTTTTACTGATTTAAGGCGCTCTTGTCGATTACCTAGCTGCTATCTTTTATGCCCATCCTTTCGAACCGAAACATTAAGACAGTCATTTCTTGTTCAATCTACTTTACTCTTAAATATGGTCCATCAAACTATTTTTGACTCTTCCGTAACTCCGAGCTTTAAGTCCAACTTATTTGCCACTCTCCTTCTTCACGACAAAAGTGATTGGGCTAGGGAATGTAGGCTTTCGCCTAGACCTTAAGTGTCTAGTTTCAGTTATTAATTTCTTTACGTTTACTTTAGTTTTACATTACTTCACTTTACTTCGTTCCTTTAATCTTAATGTGTCATTTCTGTTATCTCTTTTCCTTTGATTTTTATTGAAATTTATTACATTTGTCATAGTGGCAAACTTTACGTTATACTTTGCGTTATACTCTTGTAAACAGATATGTATTTCCTACGATTTAAATTGTGTTATATAAAATTCAGCTTATCTCTATGAAATTTTCGTTTATTAGCTACAATAAGTAATACTTGCAAATGTACTGATTATGAATTTAACCATGTACTTAATGTTTGAAGCCTTACGTGGTCGCACCACATAGCTTAATAAATGCTATACATACATACATACATACCTTTTGTAACGAGCCACCAATAGCATTAAAAATTATACTCGTCGTTCAAGAACAGCATGTACCCTGGCGTTATTTTTAGTCCACCAGGGTTTTCTTTCTTCAAAAACACAGTGCGAAAGCGCTCGACTTTCCCAAAAGCCTCATCATCATCATCATCGGAGATCGTCTCGGGTGTAGCGAAATTTTCCGGGCGATAGCGCACACTCGTTACACTATACTATAGGTGTATATACCCAACGCACACGCCCACACTATACTCTCCGGTACGTGTATCTCTATAAACGAAAATGACTAACGAGAATACACGTACACGATGAATAATGTCCCTCCCTTTTCTCTCTTTTTTTCCATAATGGTTAACTATCCGCGGGCCATTTAATGAATCGGCTGTTTGAGCGCGTTTAATAATCAACCGTGCCAAACTGGGACTGTATACATGCACGATCCGCGCCGCTTTCGAGAGTAATGAACGTGACGTTCGATATGAATCGTGAATTAATTGCCACGTGGGTATACCCATCTTGCGATAGTCGATTGTTTCCTTCGCTAATGGCAAATTGATGTTGCTGTTGTTGTTTGTAGGGTGCGGAGGAGCTTATTATCCTGTATAGTTATATGTACCTATACACTACACGCGAGTCATGACCGAGAATGAGTTACTTCGGGGAGGAGTCGACAAAAAAGTCTGTACAGCCTGGGCAAAGAAAAAAAAAAACAAAGACGTGGGTGACGAGAAAGGAGTGAGTATCGGATTTGGCTACGCGAGACAATTGAGAGGCTTTTTTTTTTTTTCATCTAACCGGAGGCATTTACTCGAACGCAAAAGTATTTCTCACATAATTATATATAGACATAATATATTTTATACGTAAACAAATTAACTCTGTATACGTAGATGCAACTGTTTAATGTCATAAATAGGTACATGGACCAACGAAAAAACGCCCCATTTGAATATTTACCCTTCAGAGCTACTATAATACCTGTATACGTGTGGAAATTAACAAAAAATATCCTGGTTTTGTTCCCCATTAAAAAGAAATTTTTTTTTTTTTCATTAAAATGGAGGACAAGAACGGAATATTTTTTTTGTGGTTTTTCTCATATAGGTACATACTTGTATATACTTGCGTTGGAAAAAGACACAAATAAAAATTTGTCTTCAAGTTTAACGTCACTTTTAATCTCAGGTCAGTGTTTTATGAGATAATGCATAGTATACGGAAGGTAGGGAAGTAGGTATATGGGATGTAATCTTGGTACTCCGTGAGTTATAATACATATACCATGTATTATATTCTACCGAGACGGAGTTAAATTAATTCCTCTCTTGTTCAACACACATCGCAATCAATTGTGCACAATAGAAACGCAATCTAGAATTTTTGTTTTTTCTTCCCAGTATGTACAAAAAATATAAAATGTCAACCGAGAGTATCGGTGCATGTCGTACGAGGTATATATACGTATAATAGGGGGGTAGGTAGAGGAATTACCAGCATCCGCGCGAATCAGCTAACTCGCGCGCGTCGCTTCCTCCTCTTTACGAGCTTTACTGCCTGCACGCGTATATACACATATGGTACGTATATCCGACGACCACCACTGCAGGCCTGCCAAGATAAATAATTACGGGTGTAACGAAGGGTGAGAGAGAGAGAGAGAGAGAAGGACGCGGTTAGTTGGTTGGATTTCGTTGAGAAACAGTTTTTGCGAACATGCGTATAACTTGTAACTCGTTGTAAGTACGTTGATGGCCGGGAAAAGAGAGAGGCTGCAAGTACATATAAATCTAAGAATCCAACGAATGTACAGCATTGACATTAAATAAAGTAATGTAAGTACAAACATCCCAGATGGTTGGCCAACGCACTGTAAAAAAAAAAAAAAAAAAAAAAAAAAAAAAAAAAAAACATGCGAACGGCTGGCACATTGTTTGGGCTCTGGTTCTCTTATAGCCTCCCTCCTATATAAATACGTGTGTATGTACCCCCACATATATATTTTAATACGCGTACGTAACGAATAATACTACATTGTACGTGTATCCTTTGAAGAGGAGGATCCCTCTCTCGGAGACGCGTAGTCTCCCTACGGGGGAGTTCCGGCTGCTGTGTAACGGTGTTCCTTTCTTTTTTCTTTCTTTTCCTTAAGGTTTGAAAGGAGAACGAGGAGGATATAACTAAATACACACATGTAACGTAGGGAATAAACGGAGTCTTACATTCGACGCTCTCCTGTATAGGTCGCAATCAAAGGACGTAATATATAATATGATGTAGGTGTATAGGCTGTTCGTGACGACGGTGAACCGAATACGGATCATGTAATATATCGATTGCCATTATTTCTTATCGGTGTGAGGTGTACAACATGTACATGTAAAAGGGGCTGTTCTTCTTCCGATCGATTTCCAAAGGCACATATATCACTTTGAGCTTCGCGGTGGAGGCTCCATTCGAAACGGGCCATAAAAAAAATTCGCGTTTCTCCTTTTTTTTCCCCTCCACCGAAGCGGCCCGTGAAATTCTATTTGCGGCTCATCGGTTCGGTAAACCGTGCCACGCGGACGTCTTTCGAAGTTTATCTCTCGCGGTGCTTCTCTCTCTCTCTCTCCACATCTTCTCGCGGGTTGCAAGCCAAACATGCGCGGTTTTGCGCGCGCGCGTGCCGTTTCCTTCTCCTTTTGTACACACATTTGATACCCAACTTGTTTCCCTTTTTTTGCTCGTACAAAGTCTTTCGATTTCGCAGAGCCAATTTGAATAAAAACAACATCTTTCGTTCCAGAGCATGCACACGTGGTCTTGCAGCTTTTGAATCTCTCAGTGATTTCGTTCGCTCGACCCCGCGGACGTTGAGAGAATGTAAAAAGGCGCTTCGGGACTTTCTCGAAATTTCTGCGAGAGAAAACCGATAGTACGTTTAACATCCGTTACACATGTATAATCCAGCGTCGATGATCTAAAATTAAAACGATTCGTTCGACGTGTAAATACAAATGCAGTTGCACGCAGGGCGAGTATATATACATACCGTATTTTGGGGGCAAGGGCGGTAACAAGGGTGTGCATGGGCCATGCAGGGGACTACGTATATATACAAATATAATGTGTGTGCGACCGCATGTGCACGTTGCACGTTACGCGGACAATCGATAGACTTAGCTTGAGCCCGTACACCTTGCCTGTAATATATGTATATACCTACGCGTGACAAGATGAATAATCAGCTGAGCAGATGGGGATCACCCAGATGGGCGATCTTGCGAGAGAGAAATTGGACATATACAGGTATAACGCGTTTTCCGGGAGAGTCGTTCGTCTATATAATGTATGTTGTACATTAATTGAAGTTTCGACCCGATTCTCTTGTAGGTACTCGATTATTCCCGCAAGTATACCTACTTACCTGCATGCATACAAAATTATGTCGAGGACGCTGTATTGCTGTAAAGAGGTCTAAATTCTCATCGTCTTTAGTAAAGGGGTTTTTTTTTGTGTATTTTTATGTTGCAGAAAATATATACCCTACACGCGTGTGTATATGTATATATACGGGAGTTCGGTGACACTTTGATCTGGAATGGCGCGTGATGCAATCGGGAGGGATTTAAATATACCTAATACCTACTACCCACAACGCGCGTTGGATTCTCGAGATTCTTTAGCGTGTTCGTCTCTCTCTCTCTCTATGTCGTTTTGACACGCGGTAATTTGGGCGAATCCCCGCGGTAGCTCCAGTTCCCCTGGAATTCTCTGGCCGCGCCGAGTATTTATTTTTACTCTGGCACTGTGGAATCGCAACCCTACTTGTTATAGAGCACTAATGTTTGTTCGAAATTTTTTGGCACAATAGACCATAGGTGTACACTTATCTTGGCGATGAACAAGAAAGAGACGACCTTTGAAATTTCTATCGAAAAATTTATCGGCAACCCCTCTCGACTGTATCATCAAAGGGCTTTGTTTAGCTTTTTTTACAAAAGAGGAGTAGTAGTGTCATGTGCACAGAGGGCAAAGTCAGGCTTTAAACTTGAATTTTTTTTTTTTTTTCAGCCAATTGTTTGACAGAACGTCTTGGAACATCTCAAAGTTCCTTCATTCATTGATATAAAACAAACACCACAATACCTCTGCACACGCACTGTTTACGTAAAAACTCTTTCATTCTGTCAAACTCTGAATAAAATGTTTTGATAAAAATTTTTTTAACTCAACGAGATTATAAAAAAATTAACCAGTAAACGATTCAAGAGTCAAAAAGTAGATACCTTCACAAAACAATACGCGCAATAAGTACACCAACAAACGAATGACAAGCGAATTTTTGCGCAAAAAAACATTCGACGGGGACATCGAAATCAAATGTATATTTGGCTCCGCACAAAAAAACAACTGCAATGGCTCTATGGCTCGCTTTGGCCGCAAAGGCACAAAAAACATCTGGTCATGGAGCCTACCCGAGGAGGATGAAAAAAAGAGCATAGTTATAACTACGTACCTATACAATACAGTGGATTGTTTATCTTTTGATCTACTGTGCGCACACCATATTACAAGCCCATATTGCCCGTATACCACCATCAAATGCGAATGTTATAAATACGTACTACAGCAGTCATTTTTTCTTCCTTCTTTCTCCCCCATCATACGCATCCATTTGTACGGTATTCACACACACATGGCGTGCACGAAACGAATGCGAATGAAAAACTCGACAAAAACGAACGAAAGAACGTAAGATGTACAAGTTTATACAACAGTTTTTTACTCCTGGTGCTCTCACTCTTGACAATAATATGTTTACGATTAAAAAGTGCTCCAAAATGTACTTTGCACGCAGTTTGTCTTGGTGAAAGAAACAGAGCTGCGTTCAAAGAAAAAAACAAAACAAAACAGAACAAAAAAATAATAGGAACGTAAACAACAAGTAATTCTCACCTCGTTCGTTCAGACGATGGTGGAAGATACCTGCATGTCGAGAGGATAACGAATATCCTGGCAGGTTATGTATCCTCGGACTGCTACTGCAGCGGCAACCCTCTGCGCATCGAGAGGTATTGCAGGATTTGTTATAGGTGAACACCGTTTTTGCTATACCTACTACCCTTCTTTTTTTTTTTTTTTTCTTTTTAAGTACTCCCTCGTTGCTCTCCTCTTTTCCTTCTCCCACGCTGCAGCTACAAACAGCCACCGGCGGAGATCGATCCGCAGGAATCTTCCTCTTCCTGCTGTATGGGAAAGCACTAACTGAACAATGTAGCTGTTTTACTTTTATGTCCAATAAGTACCAAGTTGCAGGATGTGATGTATTTCTTATTGAGGAAAACAATAGAATTTTGTGTACAATGAATGCTGACGAATAAACGTATATACTCTTGTGGTAGTCTGACCTTATTTTCCTTTTTTTCAAGAACTCGTTACTCGTACTTATATACCCTTACGAACCTATTTACAGAGATGGGATTGATGCGTGATAACAATTGGGTAAAATGTAAAAAAAATGAATAATTTACAGGGAAAAAGAGAGCGATTGTCGCGGTTCGACTTCGAATGACCGCACAGCCAACGTACGCACGCACACTGCTCGCAAAAGGGGAATCGGAGTTCGGAGTAAGATTCGGAGTTACCGGAGCAGAGAAAAAAAAAACGCCCCAGTGGATTTGCCGCCGCCGCCGAGACCGCCATGCAGAGATACATGCAGAGTCCATTCCTGCGCACGCACGTGTTGACCTATTGGTGATTTCTATGAAACGACTCCTTTGATTGAAGGGCAGATTCAAAGGTTGTCTCAGAGAGGGCTTATTTAAAAATTTTTGTTCTTAAGTATTTTCTAACAACTACGGTGTGATGGTATGCATGGAAATGTATTTGTAATTGAAATTTATCTAAATTTTAACTAAATAAAAAAATGTATTCTTCTTATCATTTTTACCCATGGTTACACTGGAGCTACTAAAAAACGTATTTTTAGCCAACAGCTATACTTGTCTTATAATTATGGTATCACAGTCATCTTATTTTTTTACATAAAATCCTTCATAGCAGGTGTCATGGTCATTAATGCCTCCTCAAGATCTTTTCTCTCTTTTGCGCTCTCCATTTTCCTCCACATTGACTCCAACTTCCTAGTCTGGTATTTCTAATGTGAAATCAATGCTGCATAAATATATTTACTCTTATACTAAACACTTTTGATGATTACCAAAAAAATTTTACCTTGATAAACATAAAACAATGTTTCATGGTGGCTCCAACGTAAATAATCTTTACAGAAACATGTTTACCTCCAACATCAATGATTTTTGGAACAGCTTTTAGCAAAAAATTGTGTGGCCCATGACGTACTTTAATCAGTGCAATTCTCGTGTGAGCGTTGCAATACTTTGCTTAAATAATATTAACAGTATTTTTTTTAAATATAAATTAAAAAAAAAGAGTATAAAAGCATGTTGTACCAGAAAAGCCAGCTTTTATCGCTGCAGTTCCGAAATCGCCGTACATCTCCCATACCTTCCGATGAATAGCTTCATGTAAGGCATTGGTTTTTAAATTCAGCGATTGATCACCTTTATTCTTAAGAGACACTTGAACTGTTAAATATCTGCAACAAATGTTAATACTATTAAAATCTATGTAAATTCAACAGAAGTAAACAAACCATCACCTGTTCTTGTAGCGAACCATGTTGAGGTTAGAAATCGACTACACATTTGTTTCTAGGTTATACTATTTAATACATAAACTTGCGTACAATACTATAGGCTCACTTTCTTTGCTTATAGAAATCTTTTTAAAAACAGAATACTTATGGCATCCAACTTTGAAAAATAACTATTGAAAAACTGACGCGATCAGATCACGAATCGTGCGGTTGATTGTGACGTCTGCAGTAGCAGAACACTTATGACATATATATTTACCGCGGTCGAAAATGTAAACAAAGAGACACCACGTGTTTTTGCAGCTTTGGAGCAATAAAAGGCTCCGGTTCGTTATCTGACGAGAGATAAGATTTTTTTTTTTTACATTGTGATGCAACTGATAAGCGTTTTTTTTTCATGACCGTCCGTCTTATCTTGCAATTTAGTTTGAAAAATGTTGATATTGGGTCAAAGGATTACTTTTCGAAAGCTTTTTGAAGAGACAATGATTTTTATTTGCCGAGAAAATTGTCATACCTTGCGGTACAACAATAATATAATAATCGTGTGCTTCAAGAGTTTAAATAAACGTATTATTTAAACTTGACTGACCATGCCTGTGGATATCGAACATACATTTGCGTTTGAACAGTCTTATCTAGAGGTCATGCCACTGCAAACAGTTAATTTAGTCATGATTATGTCGCAAAAATATAGTAAATTTAAAGATAAAGGGATTTTTTTCATTTCAGACACAAGCTCAGTTAATGCATGCATTCATACAGCCAAGAAGCTGACAGCACCACAATTAAACTTGGTTGAAAATTACTGCCCAAAGAGTGAAAAAAATGGACTATTTTGTGGGTGTGGATGTGGGAACAGGCAGTGTTAGAGCAGCTTTAGTAGATTCAAAAGGAAAAGTCATAGAAACAGCTGTTCATCCGATCAAAACTTTCAATCCACACACTAACTTTTACGAGCAGTCTTCCAATGATATTTGGTCAGCTGTTTGTCATGTAGTTAGGGTAAGGCTTTATGATATTTTTCATTGGATAGTGGAATTTTGAAATTAAAACAAATTGTAGACGTATTTTTTTTTAGAAAGTTATAGCAGATACACCCAAAAAATGTATTAAGGGGATTGGATTTGATGCTACTTGTTCCTTGGTTGCAATTGATAAAAATGGTCTACCTGTTACTGTCAGTCTTACAGGTGATTAATTTTCATATGATCAAATATTTATGGATATATTATTGAAATTATTTCATTTTATTATAGGGGATGATATGCAGAATATCATTTTATGGATGGATCATAGAGCTGAAGAGCAAGCTAATTATATAAATAAACTTGGCCATACAATGTTGAAATATGTTGGGGGAAAAGTGTCGCTTGAAATGGAAATTCCTAAATTGTTGTGGCTTAAACAGAATTTACCAGATTCTTGGAAAAGAGTTGAATTCTTTTTTGATCTTCCTGATTTTCTGACATGGAAAGCCACAAGTATTGAATCTAGGTACTTTATGTTACAAAATTAAAAATTTTATTAGCATTCAGCATTTAATAAATCAGTAAACTTATTGTAGATCTTTGTGCTCGTTAGTGTGTAAATGGAACTTTAGTGCTGGACCAATGGGAAAGAATCATTGGAACACTGATTATTTCGAAAAAATCGGCTTGTCTGATTTAATTATTAGTAATTTTGAAAAAATAGGTAAATTTCTTCAACCATGTACCTATTTATTTTACAACTTTTTGGAAATTTAAATGTACTCATAAAATTATAAAGGCCAAGATGTTAAACCTCCTGGATATCCAGTGGGCAATGGCCTCTCTTTAAAAGCTGCCCAGGAATTGAATCTGCTGGAGAACACTCCGGTTGGTACATCAATCATTGATGCGCATGCCGGCGGTCTTGGGATGCTGGGCTGCGCTGCACCAAATATTTCTTCTGATTTTACAAGTCGATTAGGTGAGATTAAATTTTTTTCAATCGAAAACTAAATAAAAGTTCATCTCGTATTTGTATTCAAGGTTTAATTTGTGGGACATCAACGTGTCTCATGGCAGTTAGTAAAAATGAAATATTTGTCGATGGCGTGTGGGGACCATATTATGCTGCTATGGTACCGGATTTATGGTTAAATGAGGGGGGACAGAGCACGACAGGTAAATTGCTTGATCACATTATAGATACCCATCCAGCTACAACGCAGATACAAAAACAATTGTCTTCTAAGATGTAAGTGTTTGCAAGAGTTTTGAAAATCTTAATGTCAAATGTTTTATACGTTGATTATTGATTTTAGGCACATACAAAATTATTTATCTTTGCTACTAAAATCCATTGCCAAAGATAAAAAACTTGCAAACGTGGCGTATTTAACTGAAGACCTCCACGTTTGGCCTGATTTTCATGGAAATCGTTCTCCTCTAGCAGATCCGACTTTACGTGGAATGGTAAAATTAACGTTATTTAATAAACATTTGTATCGTGTGCATGACTAATTATTAGTTCAACAGATAAGTGGCCTAACTTTGTCTACTGATGAACAGAGTTTAGCGATTTTATATTTAGCTACCATGCAATCATTAACTGTACGTATTTTTAAAATTTCTCTTCTAAGGAACCCATTCAATGTTCAAAAATAACAAACATTAAAATTTGCAGTATGGTACAAAACACATTTTAGAATCTTTACTAGAAGCTGGTCATAAAATAGAATCTCTAATAGTGTGTGGTGGACTAAGCCAAAATCCCTTATTCATTCAAACTCAAGCTGATGTCCTCGGTTTACCTGTCCTTTGTCCTGTAGAAAGTGAATCGGTTTTACTTGGTTCAGCAATTTTGGGAGCTTGTGCAGCCAAAACATTCCCATCAGTTCACGAAGCTATTAAAGCTATGGGAGGATCTGCTAATGTTATCAAACCTGTCACTGAAACTTATTTGTAAGTACTTTATTTAATTTTTTTTAATATGAATATTCACAATGTCAATGATACAATTTTTTGTTTCTTCTATTTAGATTTCACTGCAAAAAATACAAAGTATTTAAAAAAATGGTTCAAGACCAACAAATGTACAAAAAAATAATGTCAAATTCATCGTAAATGTCGTTTATAATTTTATACGTTTTCTTATAATGAAGAATTATTCATTGTTAAGTGGGTAGTAGATAAATATACTTTTGATATATTAGTGAAAAACGATTTATTTTGATAAACATATACAAAATATACGTACAAGAATATACGTTTACAATAAAAAAAAGTTAATTTTCATATTCTTGTGTTATTAATAAATTAGCGCTCATTATTGCTTCATTGATCACTCATGAAAGGCACAAATTGCAACTCCTCAATCTCAAAGTGGAAAACAAATTGACACACATAAATTCATTTAAATTATCCCCTATCAAAACATTATTATAATAGTAATTTATCAATCTATAATTACAAACCACCTAGAATGTCTAAAATCACGTTTCCACATGACAGTAAGTAACTGATTTGAGTACTTTGGTCAGAGAGATTATTTTAAAAATTTTGAAAAATATAATTTTTAACTTACTTAAAACCCAGCATTAAGAGTTGTGATTGCACTTGCATTGATAGCAACGTTTTAATA